AGTTGGCATTGGGTACAATGTCGGCTTTTATTTGTGGGGGTGCACCCTACTTTTTATCAAGATGATTGTATATATTAGTTTACATTTAGTTACTTTTATCGCACTTTTTATCTTCTCTTTGGTCTGTATATAAAGTTACATTCTTGTATATTCTAATCCCCGATTGTAAATATTTATTCTATTTTCTATTTTCGTACAAATTTTTCATTCTTAGTTAGTAGATAGGCTCGCAGCCTTTTTATTCGGTTTTGGCGCTTTCAATAAGCCCTTGGTTTTCTTAATGTCACGGTTCTTTACAAGGGTAGAGTATTGTGCGAACCGGGTGGCTCTTCCCGATGATGGATGGCGTGACAACCTTCTTAAGGGTTTGAGTCCGTTTTTTATTTTTCTTTTGTTTTTAGTAGTTTATAGTTAAGGGTACCTCAAGCAAAGCTTCACTTGGGCCTAACACATTTGCCTTTGATCCCATGGTCAAAGACAAGTGGTTGTGTTTAGGATGGTGAAAGTAGTGACCTTGAGACTCTTGTTTTGACCAAACAAACATCATGTGGTCTTTCGGGACTATTGTGTGCACAATCGTGTCTAAGGTTGGTGTGAGCCTCGACTCTATGTCTTCAGCAATCCTTGAGTGTGTGTGGTGAGAAATCGAATTGTGAGTCCAAGTCCCGAGACAATGGTCTAGAACTTGCCCTGAATGTTTGTTGAGGCGAAATTTTGAGTGAAATTCGACTTGAGAAGTGATTATAGGCTCTCCTTGATCCAAACAATAGTCGAACAATTCTATAGCCTACCAATGATATAATCCTTAGCTAACCATTTTGAACCTTAAACCTTTTTCTTTCAAGAACCAATGCTACAAGCCTATACCTGTTCTAAATTATACCCTCTCTTAGCACCCAAATCGTCCCTTAGGTTATGGAAAAAGTCTAAGTTTGGGGGGGAGAGACAAGAAAGGAAATGAAGTAGTAAAAGGAACAAAAGCAAAAGAAAAGGAAGACGATGAAAAAGAAAGAAAAGAAAAAGACAATAAGAAAGCCCAATGTGCAAAGAATAAAACGGGATTCAAGAAAAACAAAAGTGAAAAAGGTGTGAAAAAGTAGAAAAAGGAGATAAGTTTTGAATTGCATAAGAAAGAGTGACAATGTATCTCTCTAACCCCTTGAAAAGAAGTGAAATACTCAAAGAGTCAAAGAGAATTGTGCCAATGAATCAAAAGAAGTGTTTAAGGAAAGATGAAACCCATATAAACCAACAACTTTTTCCTACCCTGAACCAAAAGCCTTCACATTGACTCCACAAAAGCCCTATATGATCTTGAGTTGGATGACGCTCGCATTAGTGGATACTTACATGAGGGTCAAGCATATGGTACTTAGAGCCGGACTTGTGACCTTTCCTTGAGAGAGACGAGTGAATTCCCATTAACCTTGGTTTGCGTGCTTGTACTCTAAAAGGTGAGGTTTGCCTAGGGAGAGTTGAGGACGTGTGAGTTTGGGTTCCACAACGACCAAAGTAATTGAGAGATTTCTTTGATGTACTGAGTCAATTCTTGATGCTCATGTGTCACACTTGATCCATAGTTTTTCAAAGTTTAAGTTTTGTTAATTATCCATTCGTATTGAGGGCAATTGTTAGTCCCAATTGATGCTTGTTGAGGTTACCTTAGGACAACTGGAATTACTTGAATTTTCCTTTAAGGGGTGGGTCTTATTTTGTTTACTTGAGGACAAACAAAGGTTTAAGTTTGGGGGAGTTGATAATTTAGGATTTTAACATGTTTTATGCCCCTACTTGCCTATGCTTTGATCATATATTGTTACAAAATAGTCCTAAAAGGCTTACAAGTTGTGCTTGATTGCAGGTTTTATCGACAAAGTGATGAAATGTCAAATATTGGCTCAAAAAGGAGTGAAACATGCTCAAGTATCAAAGACCAAGGAATCTAAGAAAAGAAGGCCTAGTGCGGACCGCGCAAAATGGAATGCGGCCGCACTAGGTGGTTCAGAGAGTTGGTGATTCAGTCTAGAAGAAGCACGGTCGTGGTACACATCTCGCGGTCCGCGGTGAAGGCTCTGCGGCCGCTCTACTCTTTTGTGCGGTCCGCGGTCATGAGATTTAGAGAGATGAAGTTTTCAAAGCCAAAGCTATGCGGTCCGCAGTCGTGAGTGCGCGGACCGCACCAGCTCCCTCCGCGGTCGCAGTCCATTCTACGCGGTCCGCGGAATCCAAGTTCAAAGAAGCAAAAGTGAACCCAGTGCGGCCGCGGTCCATTTAATGCGGCCCGCACTGACCCCCCAGGGGTATTTTTGTCCAGTTTTTTTAGCCTAGTATAAATAGAACATTTTACTATTTTTTAGGGATGAAGATAGATCAGTTGATAGCTGCGCTCGTGACACCAACTTTTGTAGCCAGTTTTGGCACTTTTGCTTTACATTTACAACAGATTCTTGTAGATTAATTTTAGCAATTAATTAATATGCTTAGTTCTTCATCTATTTCTTCAATTTCTTTATCTAGCATGAGTAGCTAAACCCATTAGCTAGGGTTGTGGCTCAACCCTAGTGTGGGTAATTGATGGGTGTAGCCATCTAGTGTGAGATTGACTATGGGTATTTGCTATTTGGGTTGGTTTTATGCTTTAATCTAGAATTGGTGGTCACAAACACTGATTCAAGCCTTGTGGGCTTAATTCTTCTTGAGAAAGAGAATCTATGACCCCAAAATTAACCCAACAAGGAATTGGGATGGACTCATGAGAAATGATAGTCCCAATTAACGGGTTAAACCTCGAGAGAGTAATTACCCTACTTGAACCCTAGTTGTTTGGTCTAATTTGCCTACCCATTTGGTCTCGAGAGAGTCAATTGGGCAAAATCACTCTCTGTATTGAGAGGTGTGAGAGTGGGTAAAATTGTGCAACGGTTATAGTATAAGCCCCAATTATGTCAATCGAACCTTAGTAACATCTACTCGTCAACTAGCCACCTAGGTAGTGTCACGACCCTAGTGCCCTTCTTCCCATTAGATACAACTTAGCACTATTCTCGTAGCATAATTTAGAGTTACTCAATAGTTTTATAAAATTAGTTATAATTTGAAAACTCAAAAATGTTTGAAGTGACATTAGGAGTACAAACACATCTCTAGGATAGACAAACAATCCAACTCCACTTCTAGCTCCCGGAGGAAATCGATCCTGACCCTCATATCGGGTAAAAACTATTGCGACCCACTCTTCCTACCTTAGTGTAGCGTCGAGTTGGCTGCGATCAGCCACCAAGTAACAAACCCTAAAATCTCTCTAAATATAGATATTCACCTTAAATGTAATTCTATTTATAATAGTTGCCATATTGTTTTGCATTATAATGATTTTGGGTTGGTATTTAAGGCTTCACTTTCCAACCTAAACTAATACTTAGTATGTACTTAGTATTATATTTAATTAAGTGGTATCAACCTTCACTAGGTAGAGGAAAGATCTGTGTTCACATTAACCTCCCCGTACCTCACTTATTGAGACCATACTTAGTCTAGTGTTGTACCAGCATAATGTATATACACATATTAAAATGAGAAATTTTCAGAAACCACTATTGTTTAGTGGCTATTAACTTCCTATAGCTAATCTATACATAATTACTTCCTATAACTACTATCAAGTTGTTACGATAGTGTATTCGATGTATTCGCGCTGCTATATTCATGAATATAACAACAACAAAATGCCTAAAAATTAGGGTAGTTCAGTTGTATTGCACATGTATTCGTGCCATGTATTCATGAATACAGCAACAAAAAGCGCCTAAAATCAGGGCAGTCCAACTGTACGCGCATGTATTTACATGTAGTCGCGATGCTCTATTCATGAATACAACAGTAAAAAGCGCCTAAAATTAGGCAGTCCAGTTGTACGCGTATGTATTCATGAATATAGCAGTAAAAAGCGCCTAAAACCAAGGCAGTCCATCTGTACGCGCATATATTCGTGCCAAGTATTCATTAATACAGCAGCAAAAAGCGCCTAAAATCAGGGCAATCCAGTTGTACGTGCATGTATTCACATGTATTCGTGTTGTTGTATTCATGAATACAGCAATAAAAAGCTCCTAAAATCTAGGCAGTCCAGTTGTATGCGCATGTATTCTGTTATGCAGTGCCTTCCTGAGATTCCTTGGAAGGGCGACGTAAGGCTAAGCAATTGAAGTCAGTGCAGTTACTATCCGCCAACTAAGGTCCCCTCCGTACGCTAGATGAGATTGTTAGTGTCGTATGGGAAAACCAATGTCAAAAGCAATTGAGAGAACAGAAATGAAAATTGAGAATTAAAGAAATCTTGATTGCATTAATAAAAGCTATTACAGAAAGGAAACACGGTTTTGAGGGGGAGAGACACCAGTACAGAGAATTGTTTGCTTCTAGAATGTTTGATTGCTTGATTCCCCCTAATAGTGCTTAAAAAAATAAACCAAAGTTACAAGACTTGACTTAAATAAGCTATAGAACATAATGGAAGTACATGAAATAAAACTACTCTATATTTACAATGAAAAGGACTTAGTTTTCTACAAGGCAGAAATAGGTCCGTTGTCAGCAACATTGTCTTTGGCATCACAGTATGCGCACGCGGCGTTGTCTGCGCGCGCGGCGCTGTTGGCATATGCTTGTAGCTGGGCTCTAGCGAGGGATATCAGTGGGGTGGCAGAGGCACATACACGCTTTTCACTTGGCGCAGCCAAGACTTTGGGGTCGTCCGTGGCGCTAGGCATTGGGAAATTTGCTAGGACGCCACGGGGTGCGCCCAAGGGGTCATGGGGCATGGCTGGAAAGCCTCCCATGACATTCTCCCCCACCTGAGTTGGGGACGTCCTCGGTGCCTTACTTGTAAGATAATCATCACTTAGGCTCTTGTAGGCTTTGAGGTTTGTTCCCCTCTCCCAAGTATTCTCCTATGCATCACAGCACTACCGTTTCACCAAGAACTTTTGGTGATCTCTCCTTTAGGCGTGAATCACTCGATCATCAAGGATAACATCAACACGCCTTTTCTCAGTTGAATTGGGGTCTCGAATACTGGGTATTTTAAGCTGGCTCCGTGAAGGATCCTCCGTGTCTTCCTGAAAAGGTTTCAGAAGGCTTACATGGAAGACGGGATGAATTTTCCACCAAGCTGGGGTATCCACTTGGTATGCAACTTTCCCAATTCGCCATTCAATTGTCAATGGTCCAATGTTATTTTGCAATAGGCGAGGGTCATGGACCCCTGCAAACAAGTACCGCTTTGCAATTTTGACCATCACTTTGTCTCCTACTTGGTATTCAACAAAGTGATGATTTTGATCAGCATGCATCTTCATCCGTTTTTGGGATTTGATAAGATAGCTCGACACTATCTCCAAATTTCGCTTCCATTATTTTGATAATCTAATAGCTCGAGGAGATTTATACATGTTTGGTGCATTCTTGGTGTATGGGAGTAGCGATTGTTGTTCGGTAATAATTTCAAAAGCACTATTGTTTGTATTAGAGCTCTTTTGTGAATTGAAACACAGTTGAGCAGCATCCAAAAGCTTCACCCAATTCTTCTACGATTCGGTTATAAAGTGGTAGAGATATTCCTCCAACATACCATTGAACTGCTCCGTCTGGCCATCAGATTACGGATAAAATCTTGAGCTGTGACTCAATTTTGACCCGAGGCACTTAAAGATTTAGGTCCAAAAGTTGCTAGTGAAGTGTGAGTCGCAATCACTAACAATGTCTTTGGGCAGGCCCCAATATTTGACGACATGAGAGAAGAAGAGTGGATCTGTATCTTCTGTTGATATATATTATGGGGCTGCTATAAAGGTAGCATACTTAGAAAACCGATCCACCATAACCAATATAGTTGTGAGATCTCCGACCTTGGGCAATCCGGTGATGAAATCTAGGGAAACGCTTTCCCAAGGTCTCTTTGGGACAACTAGTGGTTCCAAGAGTCCCGCTTGTGTAAAAGGTCCGACTTGTCCTTTTGGCATACTAGATAAGTCTTCACATACTGGGTGACATCATCAGCCATTTGAGGAAAATAATATGCATGGTGAAGTAACGCCATGGTGCATTCTTCACCGGGATGGCCGGCCCATAGAGTATCGTGACATTTCGCTAGAAGAGTCCTTCGTATATCTCCTCCTTTAGGAACATAAAGTCGGTTCCTTTTCACTTTCAAGAAACCATCTACCATGTAGAACTGGCGAGTCTTACCGTGTCCTACCAAATCAACCAAATACTATGTAGCAGGATCCTTGATGAGTAGATCATGTATCTGATCCTTGATGGTGGTGGCTACTTTGTTCCCCCTTAGGGTGGCGAGTAGGCACATCGATACTAGATCATCTCTCTAACTGAGCGCATCCGCAACATGATTGGTCTTCCCACTTCAGTACTCCAGGTTGAAGTGGAATTCAGCTAGGAGTTCCTTCCACCTGGCATGTCGACCATTCAGCTGCGGCTGGGTCATGAAATGGCTAACAGTTGTGTTGTCTGTCTTGGCCACGAATGGGGTCCCTAGCAGATAGTGCCTCCAATGGCGCAAGAAATGGACGGCGACCAATAATTCTTTCTCATGGGCGGCATAGTGTCGCTCTGCATCCTTCAGCTTCTGGCTCTCGTATGCTATAAGATTCTCTTCTTATAGCAAGACTCTGCCGAGGGTATAGTCGGATGCATCGGTTTGTACCTCGAATGGTGGAAAAATTAGGGAAGGCCAAGACGGCACTACTAGACATAGCCACTTTCAATGCGTTGAAGGTCTTCGCTAGCCTGAGTCCCCAATCCTAGGGTATGGCCTTCTTGAGGAGTTCTATCAATGGCACTACGGTGAGGGAGTAGTTTTTCGCAAATCACTGATAGAAGTTGCATAGGCCAAGGAACGCACTCAAGGCGTGGATATCCTTAGGCGGCAACCAATATGTGATTGTCTGAATCTTCTGTTAGTCCATCTTGATCCGCCATTCCTCGATGACATGTTCGAGGAAGTCAATCTGCTTTTGAGCAAAGGAGCACTTGGATAGCTTCGCATATAGTTCGTGCTCCCGCAATTAGGCTAGGACCTTCTGTAAGTGCTCCATGTGTTCTTCTAGTGTTTGGCTATATAACACAATGTCATCGAAGTAGACTACCACGAATTCGTCAATGTACTCTTGGAAGATTTGGTTCATCAGGGTGCAAAATGTGGTTGGGGCATTAGTTAAGCCGAACGGCATAACCAGGAAGTCGTACGACCCATATCTTATCACACAGGTCGTCTTGTATTCATCACCCTCTTCAATCTGAACTTTCCAATAACCTATCTTTAGGTCTATCTTGGTGAACATCGTCGCACCATCCAGTCTGTCGAATAAGTCTGCCATTAGCGGAATAGGGTACATGTTCTTCACGGTGATTTTGTTTAGAGCCCGATAATCCAGACAGAGTCGTAGGTTGCCTTCATGTTTCTTTTGGAATAGCATATGGACTCGTATAGGGACTTGGAGGGCACGATGATCCTTGTGTCTAGAATCGTCAACAGTCTTCGAAGCTCGGTGAGTTCGGGTTGTGACAATCTGTAAGGAGCCTGGGATGGTGGCTTCACGCCCGGCACCAACTCAATCTCGTGGTCCACAGTGCGCCTAGGCGGGAGTTGCTTTGGCATGTCATGTGGCATGACATCTTCAAATTCCAGTAACAGCTCCTTCAGGGGTGTAGGAATGGGACCTAGGGAGCACTCTATATCTTCAATGCAGAGGGTTGCCCGGAACGTAGGTTCATGTCTTTCGACCCCCTTCTTCAACTGCAAGACCGGGATGTTCTCGGTGGCCATCTTCATGGGAATTCACGGGATAATACAGGGCTTGGCCCCATTTGTTCCCATCATCAGTAGCATGTCGGCATACGGTACAAGCATGATGTTGGTTTGCCTTAGGAATTCCAACCCAACTAGCAACTCGAAGTCATTTATGATCACCATGTGCAGGTTGAATTTTCCTTCGTAAGGGCCAAGCTTCACTGGTACCTCTTTGGCTATTCCACCCAATGGCTGATGAGTTGAGTTGATAGCCTTGATACGACCTTTGCCCTTTCCTACAACTAGACCAAGGCGCTCCACCTGAGTTGAGGCTAAGTAGTTGTGGTTAGCACCCGTGTCTATCATCTCCCGAAGGGGCTTGCCATTTACCTTCATCTCGACAAATATTATGGTCCTCTCTTGTTTAAGAGGAGTCCCATAATCCGCCTTCTTTTTCCTTTTATTGGTGCTTGGACAGGGGTCTTTCTTCTTATGGATACCAGCACTGATTCCCGCTAAGGTCTCAGAAATATAGCTAACAATTGCATTAAAGGCACCTACTGGTTCGGTCTGGTCCTCATCGTCTATGTCATCGTCGATCCCATCATCAAAAGCTTGATGGGTGTTCATCTGTGCATGTGGACATTCATTATTCCCATGTGGTCCGCCGCAATAACGGCATCCTAAGGGGGTTTTCTCCCCCAAACATTGTTGTTTGATGCAACATTATTACTGCCTGAGGAGGGAGCCTTAGATTTGGTGGCGCTCCGATCTCCTCCACTTCTTCTAGGGCCACCATTGCTAGTCTGGACCCCTTTGTATCCCGCTCGGGTAGGTGGTTGAGGCCTATCCTTCCGAGCTTCCACTTGATAGACCCCAAGGCATTCCACTGCCTGGATCGCCTTGGGTAGGGTATATACCCTTTGTCTTTGCAGCTCCATACGGGCATACGGGTTTCAACCCTTCTAGGAAGGTGAAGAGTTTGTCTTTGTCCCCCATGTCATGTATGTTCAGCATAAGTGCGGAGAACTCCCGCATAAAATCCCGTACTTATTTGGTCTGGCAGAGCTCCCGTAGTTTTCTCCTTGCATTGTACTTTACATTTTTGGGGAAGAACTGTAGGTGTATGGCTGCCTTCAATTCTGCCCATGTTTCGAGAGCATCTTCGCCGGCCCTGATGGCTTTATACTTCACTCGCAACCAGAGTTTAGCATCACCCTGAAGATACATGGCAGCAGTTGCTACCTTCTTAGCTTCTTTTAAGCCCCCCACGGTATCGAAGTACTGTTCGATGTCGAAGATTAAGTTTTCCACTTCTTTGGCATTGTGAGCTCCACTGTATGGCTTTGGCTCAGGAATTTTTAGTTTTTGTGCCACGGGGGAGAGGTTCACAGCAGCCCCGATTTGGTTTCTGCCTCCTCAAAGAAGGCCCTGTGAAGCAGCATTGACAACATTGAGCTGCCCTGTCAAGTTGTCTATAGTTTGTTGCACGGCAGTCACCCTGTCTGCCTCTTTTGCTCTGTAAGCTAAATCCTCGGCACGCTCCTGTTGGAGGCTCTAGAATTTGCCAAAAACTTCGGCTGCCTCTGTGGCTACTGTTTGCCGGTCTCCTTCAGAGTCGCGACTAATGTTTTCTATGTCAACTTCGGCCTGGAGCATTTTGCGGTCTAGGTCGTCCAACCTTTGCACAAGGTTGGTTCTTATTTCAGGCATCGTATCCACGATGGGTCGTAATATATCAACCATCTCTTCGAGGGCCGCAATGCGGTCCCCATGATCAGAAATGGTAGTAATGGCAATGTGTTCCCTCGTCCGATGTCGAGCCTAGGCTCTGATACCAACTATTACGTGGTGCCTTCTTGTGATTCGTTAGAAGGGCGACGTAAGGCTAAGCAACTGATGTCAGTGCAGCTACTATCTGCCAACTAAGGTCCCTCCCGTACACTAGACGAGATTGTCAGTGTCGTGCGGGAAAACCAATGTAAAAAGCAATTGAGAGAATAGAAATGAGAATTGAGAATGAAAGAAAGCTTGATTGTGTTAATGAAAGCTATTACAAAAAGGCAACGCGGTGTCGAGGGAGAGAGACACCAGTACAGAGAATTGGTTGCTTGCTATAAAGTTTGATTGCTTGATTCCTCCTAATAGTGCTTAAAAAATAAACCAAAGTTACAAGATTAGACTTAACTAAGCTAGAGAAACATAATGGAAGTACA